AAAACCAAATCTAGGTCGTCATCATATTGCACTATATATATTAAAGTCGATAATGGGCGTCCAGTGAAGTAGGTGAAGTAGGTTCAAAAAAGCTGCTCTCTTCTCAAATCTGATGGAATTCCAGATTCTGCCTGCATTTGTCGCAACCTGATTATGCATTGCAAGACTGTTTGGTAGAGTTTGCCAACAGGAATATCCCTGTCACTTTTTCAAAATTTCCAGATATATAGCTACTCTACTTCGTCTGCTCCCTAATTCTCTCAGCAATTTCATGCAGCTCATCCTTGGGGTGAAAAGTGGCAATATAAACTGTATCTGCCGAATGAAATTACTTCACAGAAAATGTTAGTTCTTTGAGGTTTCTGTGATTTTGCTAATGTGTTCATTTGCAACTGAATTGCCTTAACTAGGCAAACACACCAAGCCATTTATGAGAAGCATAAACAAGCTGACATCCAAAAACAGCGAGGATTGACTCTTAGACAACAAAGCTGTTGAGCTGTGTGTTCCATGGTTTCATCAGTACATTGACGATAAGTAATAAGCAAATCCCTAAAGGGATGCTTAACCACAAGCTTCTCACCACTACATGGACAGAATGTGTTACAGATCGCTTGATTTTCCTCAATAGAGATATCGTCGCGCAGTTGAAGCCGATTTATACGGAAAAGCTGGAGAACTCTGAATAGCTGTTTCAACCTCATGGAGCATCTTCATCATGCAAATATTCGTGAATGAACTTAGGCTTTTGTGCCTGGTACGCATGCTCACCAGCAGATGACGGTCACCCATTGGGACCTATTTTATGCATTAAGGCCCTCCTGGCCTTGATTACTGATTGACCGACTTTGTCACGATAAACAACCCCACAAGATGTCAGCTATTTTTATGCTGTGAAATCTCTCGAAAGTCGTAAAACTGAGTAAAATTGTACATCGACTGACGGTGTACCTTCCAGAATTCCTGGCTCATTCCGGTCGAGTTCAAGGCTGTGCCAAGAGAAAAGCGGATATTTGCGTAAAAACCACTTGACGCAGCTCTTTCTCGCACAATTCCGTACACTATATGTCAGGCAGAGTTTGTTCAAATTCTCGCCTGGCGAGAGTTCAAAAAATCGTTCGGCGTAACATGGAATCAGACAACGTTTCCGTGGCTATTTCACGAGGGGCTGTTTCGAGCATTATCCAACAGCACGTATCATCGACTTTACATGAGCTTTAGCGCCCGCCTGATGATTAAAACCGTAACCGACAAATGTGTTCGGAGTGATTTAACAAGATCTCCCCAAGCAATACTAGCAGTTGATTCTTCCCCTCATATTGGTTTCAGGAACGTGATTCCTTTTTCCAACTACGGTCGTTGAGATATAGGAGTCCCGATATCCGGTCTGAAGTCGGCAATAGTCTATTTTGCTAGAGGTACTTGGACCCTGAAGGCGGTTCTATAATAGCATTTGCTAGCGCGTTAATAATTTGTGCAAATAAGTAATAGTGACTCTGCCAGTTTTGAATAAACTCCCGATTTCCATTTGATCTGCGCTTTTTCAGGTCCAACATGTGTACGTTCATCGTTTTACTGACCACATTTCTCATCATGTCCGAAGTAACCGATGCATCGCGTGAGTGCAAAAATTTTGAAAAGAACACATTTTTGAGTTTTTCCATGCAATCAGCTTGTCTTTATTTGTTGTTGGAGCTGCGCGTCCGTCCTTCCATCATTAAAAGTTAAAATGCATGACTGTGAATATTACTCGCAAATTGTAAGTTACACCTCGTAACCTGGGAATAACGTCCAACCGGGTTCGATGCCTGGTCGATCATTGCTGAGTGGCTTGTCCAGCACTGGAATATTTTCGTCCAACGAGGATCATAATTCCACTATCATAGTCAGTATTAGGGAAGAATATAATATATCTAGTTCACTCTATATTCCGCCATTTTATTTTTGTGTGACTAATTTAACTGCATTTGGATATGTTGGCCTTCGAAGTTTGGTGAAAATTTGATTCCGTTCAATTCAGTTTCCAGCTTTCTGTTCGTGGAAATTTCATGAGCTCTATTTTTTCTTTGAAAGTAATGGTCGGAAAAGACGGAGAAGGCCTGGCATATTTTATTGAAGCGGAATCGCCACGCAAACGGGCTGAGGAAACTGCCGCTTTAGAACAACAGCCTCCGGATGATGCAAAACACTGAACCCGAAACCACAAAAATTACCGAACTCGAAGCCAAAAGTAAATAAATCCTGGGCATTTTCCCATTTGGGGGACTTCTATTTAACAAAACCAAATCTAAGTTGTCATTTGATTGGGAATTCAACCACACTACTCTTAGTTGGCTGCATTTTCTCTATTCGATGAATGCCGTCCAATAATCAACCGGAAGTTCTTAATAATGGCTCTGCAATCCGTGAATTCAGTTGCTCTTACCAATGCCGTCTCGTCAGCATTGGCTCTATGTGCAAACGTCGGAGGCCCAAATAAAAAACATGTGAAAGCTAGGTGGTTTAGTGAATTTCAGTTTACTTGGCTTATCGTTCCGAGTGACAAACATATGCAAGTCAATCCATCATTCGGGGAAGTTAGTCTATTGAGGCGTCTTCCACCTTAGACCATTGTTCATACTCCCCTAACTTGGCAGAACCTGAATGGAGGAACTACTTGTAGACTAGCAGGTCTAGCAACATGAAATCAGATGTTTTCATTAGACTACCAGCCTTCGTGGACCAGATAATCTGCTATTCTACCACCGGAATTATGAATAAACCCAGAAGTGTCCCAAAAAGGAGACTGTGGTTTGCGATTCATATTTCGTGATGAAGCACTGCTCAAGTCGAGAAATGTTTTGGACAACAAGGCCGATTGTGAAGTTCACGTTACGGCTGAATATAGGTATCCAACATGCGATGATCCTGTCCGAGGGAGCCCTTTATACTGAAAAGCCGCGAGGTGCTGTACAGCCGTTTCATTCTTGTTTGTGGTCATCAGTAATGCGCACCTCACAACAGGGATGAACGAGCTGTAGGGCAATTCTTCACTTCTCAGCAGACATTGGCTTTACTAACAAGTGGAATTCTTTCTATCAAATATCAACTCGTCTCAAGACATTTCAATGAATCTCATGCTTTCCATGTGTGTACAATTCTCACAGCGTTGTGGAAATAGTTGTCTCATAAGGTAGAACGTCCCAATCAGTACACGACCTTTGAATTGGTCAAAGTCGAGTCGCCAAAATCTTTAAACATTACTTTATAAAAAACTCCACTTCTTCCTTGAGTCTGTACCATATTAAATGTCAACAGAGCGTGAGCATTCTTCAAACTGCGAAATTGGTCAGACATCCTTTGCAGGTCTGGGTGAAGCGAACTGTCCATTTCTGCTTGTGGAATCTTTCGAATTCCTAAGGCGAAGCAACAAATTGCGTTGCCCAATATTTCGTCTGTACATTTTTGGTCACACTGTCAACAACATGTGAGGCAACGAGCGTCGACCATCACATGTGAAGATCACACGTGGAGACGGTCATTATTACTGGATACTTATGAGCGTGAAATGGTGGTGTTAAGTTCATAAACACACTGAAGCTCTTGCAAAACCTCAGTCATATCGACCGTGTTCGTATCCTCACTCCCAAATGGTAGCCGAGGAGCAAACGAGTATCCAGTTGCCGGAAAAATTCTCGTGATGCACGCGCGACGATCGGCGAACTAAGTGGCCTCATATGGAAAAAAGCGTAACTGCATTTTGACCTATATTGCAGTAATGATTATTCTGCACGTGATGGCTTTGTAGTTGAAGTCATCAAGCTTAAGAATACGTCCGATGGTGTAGTTCATGAAAAGTTTTGTATTTTTACAAATGGCGGTCTGATTTTCACCAGCCGGATATAGTACCACCGTTTCTTTAACTGCCACATGACTATAATTTGAGAAACACTGGCTCTAGTTGGTCTAAGCCCGTTTTCTTATGGACTACTGTTCGTTTATCAGTAGTCAGAGTTTGGGATTTCCAATTTGCCGACCGTATCCTGGGATTTACTGGCAGTCGGTTGTGCATAAGCATGGGAGTTAAAGTCAAAATAGTTTATAGCCTAACTTTATCTAAATTTATGTATTCTGCAGTTGTCTTCAGCTTCATCCATCAGGGAACACATACCCAAATCGTCGTGTGCAGTCAGTCATAACACTTACAGTGAGTTGTCCAGATTTTTCGACAGGAAATTAAACGATTTGGAATAGTGAACAATGAGTACCTCTTGGTACAGCATACTCCGAACTCCTTGGTAAGCGACTGCGCACAATACCACTTGGTCAAGCATGGCTAGTCAACCGTCCATGTGGCTTCTCATTGGACAATGTATCCCGCTTGTCATAACTCAATCCCGAACTACATCCCTATCCCCATAGTCTCATACAGATGAAATTGATCAACTTGGACTGAAAGCATTGGGGTCTCACGAATTGGTTGGAAGATTTTGCTCAATGTCCCAGAATTTCATGTTCCAAGCGGACTTCAGACAAGAAACCGAGAATCGATCTGATACGACGATTTGCGGCTTTAAGTGTTTCTTTACAAACATTCGGAAATGGTGGCCCACTGACTGGTTTATACCTGTGCAATTTACCGACTATAGTAGTAGCAAACACCAAGCACTAAAGAAAACCACAAAACTGTCGAAAGAGAACGTGTGCCGCATATGTCAAAATATCATTTATCCAAAAAGCAATCGTTCCGATCAAAGCCTTCAGAAAACAAGATTTTGGGAAACGTACCTCATTGGAAAAAACGTCAAAGAATGAAGGATGGTTTGTTTTGAAACATGCCTCTCCGAGGCCGAGTTGATTCTCTTCCACAATATTGAGAACCCTACAAATCATGGCTTCAA